GGGTCACCGACAGCCCCTTAAGGTGTGGATGATATCGGGGTAAGCTCCACAGAGCGACATGGAGAGGCGTCTACCATACTGTCTTCGCCTTCAGGCAGGGAAACTGAACTGTTGAAGCACTACAACAGCCGATCGTCTTTCTACTCGATCTAGACCTTCAGGAAGTGTCCTCCTGTACCAGCATATACCCAGTGTCAGTCGCCTGACGCGCACCGTGCCTATGGCAAACCTGCAGACTGCTGCAATGGTAGACTGCAATTTGTGCCTGAAGGGTATCGGCTTATTGGGACAATACCTCGTAGGGGTCTTTCCCACCATTGCTCTGTACTCCCTATATATTCTAGTGCATAGCGTAATACATTTGCATAAACCTACAATCTGTCTGTTACTTCCACTGCTTTATTATAGCCTCTGTTTATCAGCATATGATTAAGCACTATTCCCATTAACAAAAATGTGCAATGTTTTTTTTGATGTCACACAACTGTTACACTATTCCTAATTATCTTTCTGCACCAGCTGTTGTCTCAGTGCAAAACTGTCTGTTTAACCTATGCACAAATAAAATAAAGAATAAAAAAAAATCAATACTGATACGTTTATATATTACACATACTTATAAATATAGATGTATTTATGTTTTTATATTTACTGCTCCTCCTTTTCTTCTCTCTGTTATTCACTTTTCACTCAGTCTGTGAATAAAATCATCTGTTAGTAGCTGCACCCTAGTCTTCAATCAACTATTTTGCCATCATGCATCTTTTTTTTTTTTTTAATGCCATGGTGGAACTTTGTATACTATACATGTTCGGCCATCACACTAGACTTTTGCTTGGTTATAAGTTCTTATGGTGCTTCAGAGACCCAGAATTCTTCTGAACAGATGAACAGAAACCCTTCCAATGTCCCTCCAAATGCAAGTGCAAAAGAACTGTATAGTAACTTAGTCAAGATACAGTATAGGGTGCCACTGTCACAACAAATGTGGTAGATATAGTTACCATATAGGAGAGGAACATGTAGTACTCACACGAAAGAGAAAAAAACATCATAGTGCATACTTTAATGAACGCAAAATGATAAAAAAAAAAGATAAAATGGACACTCACAAAGGTTGTAGCACAATTGAATCAAATCAATCTGTGCAAAAGCGCTTTTGCCTCAAGTAGGCATATTCCCCATGTAAATCAGTTCGCAGTGGTAATCTCTATACATCCACAGAATTTCTTCCACAGGCCAGCAGTACAAGAGATGAAGTTCTTCACACAATTACTGCGCTGGAGTCCTTTTGGGGCTGTAAATATGTTCAACGCGTTTCGCCTCTCTTCAGACTTCGTCAGGAGATGTTCTTTCTTCTGAATCCAGCGTTTAAATATGCCGGGCGGCGTCCCTCCACTGTAATTGCGACTGCATGGCGATGCAACAACTTAATATAATAACGCCATGTAAACGTTAGCCGCGTATGCGCGTTCCCCTTGGAATGCAAACAAACTTTGTTAGTATAAGCAAAAAGGACAACCCCCAACTTATACTAAGAAGCTGGAGTCATTGACCGATGCTATAAAATAATAGATCCACAAATCTAATTTATGTATAGAGCATCTCTAAAAAAGCTCTCAAATAATAAAAAATGAAAAAAGAGTAAAGAATGGATGTATGTCAAGCATAGATATGTGAATCAAACATATAAAGCAAGAAAATAGATATATACATACATACATACATGTAAAAAACACATATAGTATGCTATCAAAAATGACAATCTTAAAACTGTGACCAGTGTGATAATAAACTAGTTCTTCACCCATGGGCGTCCGCACTTGCCCCCCCCCCCTGTATTTTTCAGCTTGTTCTGCTATTTTTCGTGTGAGATTTAAAATGAACTGCAATACCGGCGCCGGCCAGTATGGAGAGAGACAGGGATAGGAAGCTGCATCTTATCCCTGCTTCTCTCTGCTGATTGAAACCGCAGGGGAACAACACATGCAGCCAGAGACAGCCTGCAGATCAGGGGAGTGAGGCATGGGGGGGGCAGAGACAGTCTGCAGATCAGGGGAGTGAGGGATGGGGCCAGCCTACAGATCAGAGTGAGGGATTGGGGGCAGAGACAGCCTACAGATCAGGGGAGTGAGGGATGGGGTGGCATGAGACAGCCTACAGATCAGGGAGTGTGAGGGATGGGGTACAGATCAGGAGTGAGGGATGGGGGAGACAGCCTACAGATCAGGTGAGTGAGGGATGGGGTGGGGATTCAGATAGCCTATAAACTTGGGGGCAGCAGCAGCAGCAGCAGCCTATAGACTTGGGGGGCAGCAGCAGCCTATAGATTTTGGGGGCAGCAGCCTATAGACTTGGGGCAGCAGCCTATAGACTTTGGGGGCAGCAGCCTATAGATTTGGGGGGGGGCAGCAGCCTTTAGATTTGGGTGCAGCAGCCCATAGATTTGGGGGGGCAGCAGCCCATAGATTTGGGGAGGGGGCAGCAGCCTATAGATTTGGGGGGCAGCAGCCCATAGATTTTTGGGGGGCAGCCTATAGATTAGGGAAGTGAGCAGATTAGTGAGCCTATTGCATTAGGGTGTGCACCCTAAATCACAAACACACGCCATGTGTATATGTATGTATGTATGTGTGTGTGTGTATATATATATATATATATATATATATATATATATATATATATATATATATACTGCTGTGTATGTGTGTGAGGGTGCTGGTAGTGTGCTATGTGGGTGATGGTGTTTTTGTGTGTGTTTGTGAGAGTGCTGTTTGTGTGCTGTGTGTGAGGGTGCTGTTTGTGTGCTGTGTGTGAGGGAACTGGTAGTGTGCTGTGTGTGTTTTGTGTGTTTGTAAGGATGCTGTTAGTGTGTTGGGTGTGTGGGTGTTGTATGTGTGTGGGTGCTGTGTGTGTGAGGGTGATGTATGTGTGTAGGTGCTGTGTGTGTGTGTGCTGTATGTTTGGGTGGAAGTGGGGGCAGATTAGTTAATATCCCAGTCCTGCTGCCTTCCCTGGTGGTTCAGTGGAGAGTGAACTCTAGCCCGGGTTCTCTGCTGCCTCCCTCCATGCTGCTGTGGACCGGTGAGGTAGAACTTTGATCTCCCCACCGGCCCATGGAGGCTTAGACCAGAGCCGCCGCTCGGATAGCGTCGGCTCTGCATGAGCCGACCGGGGAGATCCAGAGATCTCCCCTGCCGGTCTCAATCCATTGGCGTGCCGCAGGGATTAGGGTGTGCCCAGGCACACCCAACACACCCCGTGCGCACGCCTATGGAAGTGAGGGATGGAGGAGACAGCCTACATGAAGAGTCAGCAAGGAGCAGGAAGGTAAAGTGAGAAAAGGAGAAGGAACAGAAATGAGCAGGAAGGGACATCAAGGAGCAGAAAGGGGCAGCAAGGAGCTGGAAGGGACAGCAAGGAGCACAAAAGGTAAAGTAGGAGAAGGAGCACAAAGGAACAGGAAGGGTCAGCAAGGAGCTGGAAGGTAAAGCAGCACAAAGGTAAAGTAGAAGGAGCACAAAGGGTCAGAAATGAGCTGGAAGGGGCAGAAGGAGCACAAACATAAAGTAGGAGAATGAGCAGGAAGGGCCTGCAAGGAGCAGGAAGGGCCTGCAAGGAGCAGTAAGGAGCACAAAGGTAAAGGAGCAGAAAGAATCAGAAGGAGCACAAAGGTAAAGTAGGAGAAAGAGCAGAAAGGGACAGCAAGGAGCACAAAGGTAAAGTAGAAATGGGAGCAGAAAGGGTCTGCAAGGAGCAGAAAGGGATCAGAATGAGAAAGGAGCAGAAGGGCGCAAAATAAGCAGAAAGTAGCAGAAAGGTAAAAGAGCAGAAGGGGCCAAGGATAGAAAACAGTGTCAGAAGAAAAAAAAAGACTGTCAAATGAAGGAGAGGAAAAGGAGATTGGAGCAGGAAGGACAAATGAAGTGAACCCTCCACTTTATTCTGGACACCACATCATAAGGCTTTGGTACCTGGGCCAGGCAGGGAAACGCTGGACCTTCTCATCTCCAAAGGTAAAAAAATATCAGTATTAATGTGTTCACTTTTATTTACTGAGTGTCAGGAAGCACAGAGTGCCGTTGGGTAGGGGTGTTGCTGATTGGCTAGAGCGGTCAGCTGGCACTCTAAGCCAATCAGTAGCTCCCCATTCATAAAAAAGTTAAAATATTTTATGAACCGGGAACTAGCGATTGGCTTAGAGCGTCAACTGTCCACTCTAGCCAATCAGCGGCACCCATGCCTGATGTCAGTCTGCACTTCCTGACTCTCTGTTTCAGAAGCCAAATACCACTGAGCGACCTGGAGCTGGAGGAAGCCTTTGAGGTTAAACCATTTGAGAGCGATTTAACCCCTTAAAGGAAAGC